GGGAATTTGAGCACGTTACAAAAAGACTTTTAGAACAAAAGTTGTAGCAAATTTTAATCTGAACAATATTGCTCTCTCTTACTTTTGCTGTCAAATGCGTAAATATCGAGAAAAATACGAAAGTGTGAACATTTTATGAATTCGTAGTTTTATAAGTTGTTAATAATAAAACTGAGGATACGGAACATATTACAATAAAACTGTTAGAACAGAAGTTGAAACAAATTTTATTCTTAACAATATTGCTCTCTTTCAGTTTTGTTCTCAGGTGCTTAAATATCCAGTAAAATACGAAAATATGAAAATTTTATGAATTCGTTGTTTGTCGGAATTTGAGCATATTACAAAAAAACTTTTTGAACCTAAGTTGTAGCAAAGTTTGTTCTTAACAGTATTGTTATCTTTCACTTTTGCTCTCAGATGCATAAATATCGAGAAAATACGAAAATGTGAAAATCTGATAATTCGTTGTTTTACAAGTTGGTAATGGTAACACTGAGGATTCAAAGTATATTACAAAAGAACTGTTACAACAAAAGTTGTATCAAATTATATTCTTAACAATATTGCTCTCTTTTAGTTTTGTTCCCAGATGCTTAAATGTCCAGATGAATACGAAAATATGAAAGTTTGATGAATCCGTTGTTTTTTGCAAGTTGTTGTAACACTGGGGAATTTGAGCATATTACAAAAAAACTTTTGGAACAAAAGTTACCGCAAATTTTATTCTTAACAACATTGCTCATTTTCACTTTTGTTCTCAGATGCTTAAGTATCAAGAAAAATTGATAAATTTTTTCTATTTTGCAAGTTGTTGATGGTAACAGTGGGTATTCGGAGCATATTACGAAAAAACTTTTGGAACAAAAGTTGTAGCAAATTTTATTTTTAACAATATTGCTCTCTTTCAGTTTTGTTTCTAGATGCTTAAATATCCAGAAAAATACGAAAATGTAAAAATTTTATGAATTCGTTGTTTTTTGCAAGTTGTTGATGGCAACACTGAGGAATATTGGCATATTACAAAATTTACAGCAAATTTTATAATGATTATAAATCCAAATACATGAAATTCCTCTTGATTTTGTATTTATTTTATTGTTAAGTCATTTAACGTTTCGAACTATTTACATAGTTCATCATCAGAAATCACTATAAAAAAGGAATTTAAAAAGCAACGTCGACGAAATTATCTCCTTTATGGAAATCGTTAAAACAAATTGAACGTACAAAGCGTAGATTATTACAAAAACAGAAAACAAAAAAAAGAAAAAGAAAAACAAAAAGGAAAACAAAAAAGTACCTTTGTCGAGTATCCTTATTGATTAATCTATCAATTCTATCGGTTAATTGTGTATATTTCCATGATCTTACATTTTATAAATTTTTCAAATTACAAAACATTTCAACGTGTTCGTATGGACTTAGCGACTATAAGAAGGAATATCGTGACGGAACCAGTTTTTCTTTAACAATGTGTTCTACGGAAATCAATACAATTCAATTCAAATTACAAATTTAAAATTTACCAATATCTAAAATTACNAAAAATATGAAAATATGAAAATTTTATGAATTCGTTGTTCTTTGCAAGTTGTTGAAACACTCGGGAATTTGAGCATATTACAAAAAAACTTTTAGAGCATAAGTTGTAGCAAATTTTGTTCTTAACAATATTGCTCTCTTTTACTTTTGCTCTCAGATGCGTAAATATCTTGAAAATGCGAAAATGTGAAAATCTGATGAATTTGTTGTTTTACAAGTTGCTAATGGTAACACTGAGGATTCAGAGCATATTACAAAAAAACTGTTAGAACAAAACTTATAGCAAATTATACTCTTAATAATGTTGCTCTCTTTCAGTTTTGTTCTTAGATGCTTAAACATCCAGAAAAATATGAAAGTTTGATGTATTCATTGTTTTTTGCAAGTTGTTCAAACACTGGGGAATTTGAGCATGTTACAAAAAGACTTTTAGAACAAACGTTGTAGCAAATTTTAATCTGAACAATATTGCTCTCTCTTACTTTTGCTGTCAAATGCGTAAGTATCGAGAAAAATACGAAAGTATGAACATTTGATGAATTCGTAGTTTTATAAGTTGTTAATAATAAAACTGAGGATTCGGAACATATTACAATAATTTAGCGATCTGGGATTCCAGGTTCATCGTAGTGTGGATAATGAAATAAAAGGTGTATTTTACGATGATGATTGTTTATTTATTTGTTTCGGTGCGACAATTGTTTCGACCAATATGGTCTTCTTCTTAGGCACGACTAAAAAATTATAAAAGTTCTATTTTATGAGGTGTACATTTAGGAAAAAACGCAAGGTATATTAATGTTGATTCAGTAATTGGTTTACAAAAACAGTCGCAAAAGGGTTGTGTGCATTTTAAGTAATACATTTTCTCGAATCGGAACTCATAAGTATTCTAAAGGCTTTAGATTTTATTTTAATAGACTTTTTAATGTGCCTCTTGATGATAGTAATTATAAAAACGAACTTATGAGAATAATTAAAATAGGTCTTAACAATGGTTATAATTTAAACGATATACAAAATTTTTATAATAAGGTACATAAATCTTTAATTAATAAAATGATCTATCCTCACCATAAGTCACATAAACATTACATTACTGCCCCCTTTGAACCTTTACTTAAAAGTTAGTGTTTTAGTGTTTCAATTTAAATTTAAAAATAACCTTGAACAATATAACATAATCCCTGCTTTTACTTCCGGTATAAAACTTGGACAATTAATAAATAATACTAAACATAAATTTGGAGTTGACGAATCGAGCGGAGTGTATCGAATAAACTGTGGTGACTGCGATAGGTATTACATAGGACAAACCGGCCGTAATTTGAAAACACGCTTTAGGGAACATCTTACCAAGGACTCGTCAGCTTTTTATAAACATCTCAAATCCACCAAACATAAAACAGATTCCTGTAATATTAAACTCCTTAAAAACATCAAAAAATCCAAAGAATTAGATTTATTGGAAGAATTTTACATTCACACCAATAAATCAGAACTAATGCTTAACGATTTAACTGATTTCAATAATAATAGATTTTTCCTAAATTTCATTTAACCCCCACTCCCACCCCCATTTCTTTATACCTTGATGAAAGTCACCTTACTCCGTACAGTCGCACTTTTGCGCTTCACGGAAAAGTACCGTTTCACTTTTTTAATTTTTTCATAGTTTCTTCATAATTTTTGTTATTTTTTCATTTAACAGTTCTTCTTTTTATTAATTTGTTTGTTTCCTTTTACAATGATCCTTGGTAAGATGTTTCAAGATTTACTTTTACTTGAAATTTAACTTCTTTTACAGTTTAAAACTCATAACCTCACTTTTCAACGTGTTTTCAAATTTTCATTTTACAAACAACGTTTCTGTTCCGATTCGAGAAAATGTATTACTTAAAATGTACACAACCCTTTTGCGACTGTTTTTGTAAACCAATTACTGAATCAACATTAATTCTCCGTCTCAACATCTAATCTCTCTTTTGACGGTAAATATACCTTGCGTTTTTTCCTAAATGTACACCTCATAAAATAGAATTTTTATAATTTTTTAGTCGTGCCTAAGAAGAAGACCATATTGGTCGAAGCAATTGTCGCACCGAAACAAATAAATAAACAATCATCATCGTAAAATACACCTTTTATTTTATTATATTACAATAAAACTGTTAGAACAGAAGTTGAAACAAATTTTATTCTTAACAATATTGCTGTCTTTCAATTTTGTTCCTAGATGCTTAAATATCCAGAAAAATACGAAAATGTAAAAATTTTATGAATTCGTTGTTTTTTGCAAGTTGTTGATGGCAACACTGGGGAATATTGGCATATTACAAAAATTACAGCAAATTTTATTTTTAACAATATTCCTATCTTTCACTCTTGCTCTCAGATGCGAATACATCGAACAAAATACGAAAATATGAAAATTTGATAAACTTATTGCTTTTTGCAAGTTGTTAATAATAACACTGAGAATTCGGAGCATATTACAAAAAAACTGTTAGAACAAAAGTTGTAGCAAATTTTATTCATAACAATATTGCTCTCTCTTACTTTTGCTCTCAAATGCGTAAATATCTAGAAAAATAGGAAAGTGTGAAAATTTTATGAATTCGTTGTTTTTCAAATTGTTAATAACAACTCGTAACACCCGGGAATCGGAACATGTTATAAAAAAACTTTGAGAACAAAAGTTGTAACAAATTTTATTTTTAACGTAAATAAATACTTCAGTTGGATAAATACTTCAATTGTATCCTTTATTGAACAGTTTTCAAGCAAATTCAAAGTTTTGAAAATCGGTAGCAGTCCTCTTGGATTCTACCGTCCTTGGTGTAAATATTAAGCCAGTTAACGCAACGGTGTGGATAGCTGTCCGAATTTGTGTGCATTAAAATTATTCATTCCAACAATTTAAAGCATAAATTAAAATTTTTTCACACAACTGACTTTTGTCTTTTTAAAGTTACAAAGTTTTACTAAATTTTTGATTTGATTTAAAATATTTTCTTCTATAATCACGCGGTTGTTGCCCCTTTTTCGCAGCGGCTACATACGTTTTACGAAAATGGGAACAACCAACAAAGCAACTACCGGCATGCAAATTTATGTAAACCACCCCTCACGTATCGCTCGACTCTACGCATTTAAATTCCGCAACGTTACACCGTTAATACCCATCAGATATAAACGTCAAATGTTGGTAAAAAAGCGAAAAGAGCGCACGACGGATGTGTGTCGTTCTAAATATTTAACGGGGAGATCCGACCTTGTCATGATTATTTTGTATTGTTTTTTTAATTTGCTTTGCAAAAAAGATAAAAAATATAATCCTCGAAATCTCAATCGCGTTTAAAATGCGGGATTAAAACGAAAATCACGTGTTGTGTAATGGAAAACGACTGTCCAAATTTAAATTTTTCATCCCCCTTTTTCTCTTTTTGTTTTAGAATAGAAGGTCACCATGGCGGCTTTCGTCGCAAAGCAAATGGTCGGGAACAAGCTGAACGCTGTTAAAGGTAAGATTTAATTTAAATTTTAATTAGAGTTGATATTCGATATTTTTAATCTTCGTCGACAATTTCATTATGAAGGATCGTTTTTCAATCCTATTATAAGGATTAAAATGAAACTATAGAGAATTTAAGTCAATTTAAAATTAAAACCTATTCCAGTTCACAATAGAAAATGTATTAAGGTTTAATTTGTCACAAAAAATTTGGCAATAATTTATTAACAGAACTAGTAATAAGATTTGACATTTTAATGATGTTGAATTATTTAAAGAACTTAAAAAACTTAAATAAATCAAGGGGTTAAAAATTCTGTTCATGCTAAGAATTTTAATAGGTTCACGCCAATCCCAAGTAAAAAAAAAGCGGGTGGAAACACCGAAGTCGATTAAAAGGAACCGATTACCCACGCTCGGGTCTATGCAAATAAAAAATTACCATATTTATGGGTTACGACGTCGTAGTCCGAAGGCAAGCTTCGACTAATCCACCCTTTTGGTTTCGGTCCTAATGTGCCTTAATCAGCAGCACCAGTTTGGGTTTTCTAGTGGTGAAACTGCCCCGCTGTTTCCTGTGGGAAAAGGCTCGCACTATTTCCTGTTATTTTCCCACTTAAGGCCCCGGCAATTGACTACTCTAAACGGGTCGCGCAATTTAGAACCCCCAGATGGAAGGACCTAAGAGGTGCCCCGTGTGCTCAAGCGGTCCGTGAAAAGGGCAAATTGAGTCCGTCTCGCGAAATGATTGAAATATGGGACTTAAAAGCTCGGCGAGGTGCTAAATTGTGCCCTACAACCGCAGCAGTGAATTACGTTCGAAATCGGGCTGTAAAATCTCGATTGCTCCTACCCCTCTCAAGCACTTTACCAACGCGATATTACTTTTATTGTCCGCGGAGGTATGGTATAAATATCTTTTTGAAAAATGAAGTCATCGCCGATGATATATATACTTTTAGAATTCACGTTAAAGTTTATGAAAAGACGTAGTTTCGAATTTTCCCCTTTTCATAATATAGAAAGTTTAGACCGAGTCAATTTTCGTAAATTTTCCTTCAACTAAACTTAATTTCATTTCATTATTGTCGAGTTACCCTTCGCGAAACGCGTTTATATGCGGGAAGCTACGATTCGACGAAAATCACATTTCCTCTTGGCAGGTGAATTTGTTACATTCAATTAGTTGAGTTAGGCGACGCGAACGTTTATGTTCTGGACGGCGTGCTTCGTGAGTGAATTAATTCACCCGCACAAATCACCGTACGCCAAGTCTGAAGTTTTATTTGACAGCGTTTCTTTAGTCAAGGAACGCCGAAAACCGTTCTTCTATTTCATTATACCGTGTGTAGACCGAGAGAAACGAAAACGAAAACTATAAATCGTACGAAAATGGGGTTTTCTTTCTTGACATGCAGGTTGAACGACGTTATTTTCCTTGGGGTTGGTAGTCTAAAAATACATGCGAGGGTTTTGTGGAAATTGTTAATATTATTTATTGAGAAGTATCAAAAGTATTATTGAGTAGTTATTATTAATCAATAATTTAACTTGAAAATCATGTTTTAGCTCTAAAATATGAAGTACACGTTTCATTAAAACATCAACATCATGGTAGGTTTCAAATACCGATAATTAAACACAAAGTTAACAACAAAACAATATTCATTCGATGTTTCATCGAATGAATATTGTGAATATTGATTTATGTCAATATTTATATTTAATGATCAACATATAACCTTAATAAAATAGCTGAATTTATTTGCGTGAAATAAGTGTTAGGTTTCGTAGTCGAAATAATGCACTGGTTCACGTTTAACTTAATTATATTCACATAAAAGAACCAAACTACAAAAAATACGTGTCTCTCGAACGACATTCATAATAGAACTCTATTATCTCAACTCTATGGTTGTCTAACATTTGGGTATAAATATTGTTGACTAACATTTGGCCTCGCTGCCATTAGAATCGCCCTCGATTTCTTGTGGATTTGTGTGAACCTTTATCAAAACTCGCCATTAGTTCGAATTCTTAATTCCTATGAATGGCTTCAACCATGTATCTCTCTTTGACGTTTCTTTACGCTCTTTCAGAGAATGTGTACTAACTAACGTATAGCGGATGTTTTGTTGATTGCTTTATTGTTGTAATTATGTTAATTTTTCGTTATTATGAGGATGCTTGTTCGGGATATTCTTCCTGTATGCATCCCGAACATGTAATAAATAAATAAATAAAGCTAGTTTTTTGGGCTTTAGTAAAGCTTTTGATTGTGTTTATCACTCAGTTTTAATTCGCAAATTATATGCATACAATGTAGCTCCAGAAGCGTGTAAATTAAATTATTTTCATCTTATCTTACATACAGAAAACAATATGTGAATATTGTTTATCGTAATCCTAGAAGTATCACGAGTGGTGTTCCCCAGGGTTCAATTTTGGGTCCTATTCTATTTTTAATTTATATAAATGACTCACCTTCCTTTTTGGGGGCTGGGCAATCTATTTTATATGCTGACGATACTAGCTTGTTAACTAGACACATGTCAGGAACAGAAGCCACAACCTTACAAAATTTAATGTTTATATTTATTTGACGTGTCTATGATAGATTGCAGTGGTGTATTGCCTTGTGGTTCTTCTGATCACGATTTAGTGTACTGTGACTGTAAGCTGAGCAACCCAATGACAGAGCCTGCTTATAAACTGGTCAGATCACTAAAGTATATTGATCAATTATCGTTCAAATCTGACTTAAGTAATATAGCCTTCAACAAAATATTTTATATGCAGGATATAAATGACAAAGTTTGCTTTTTTACTGAACAAATAATTAATATTTTTGACGTTCATGCTCCTTTACGTTTATGCAATTTCACAAAGCCTAGTGCTCTAATAAACTAATGCTATTAAAAATGAAAGGAGAGCGTATTTCACCAAACGGGGTTCTAAGCAGAGATGGGGTGGTTTGAAACATTTGAAAATTAATTCTATGACTCATACTAACAGTCAACTACCCACACAGTTGAAGAATCCTGATGGCATAAATAGTTTTTTTTGTTCATAGCGTTCAAGATATCCTTGACGATATTACGTTGGGCGAGACTGATGATTGCTGTAAAGAGTTTGCAGCTTTCACTTCCAATGTATTTTCATTTCGTACGGTTACCACGTTTGAGGTTATGGAAGTTATTTCAGTGATAAGCTCTTCTTCAATGGGGACTGACTTGGTTGGTGTTAGTATGCTTCGCATGTGTTGCCCTGTTATTTTGCCGTATTTGACACACATTTTAAATTCTTGTTTGGTTGAAAATATTTTTCCTGATCAATGGAAACGGGCTGTTGTGCTTCCATTATCAAAGAAAAAGAATCCAGTTGATTATGGGGACTTGCGTCCGATCAGTATTTTGCCAACTATGTCTAAAATCTTGGAAAAAGTAATGAAAAATCAATTAATCTCTTATATTGAACAGAACAACTTGTTACCAGTTCAGCAATCTGGTTTTCGTGCTGATCATAGTTGCACTACAGCTATGCTAATACTCAATGATGATGTTTTGGGTGCAGCTGGCGAAGGTATGCTTACAGCGGTGGTACTCCTGGATTTTTCTAAGGCATTTGACACCATTGATTATACATTGCTCTGTCGTATAATGGTGCCGTGGCACTAATACAAAACTACTTAACAGGTAGAATACAAAAGGTAAGAGTTGGTGATCGGGAATCGCAAGAAGTTATTGTTGGTTCAGGTATTCCGCAGGGTTCCGTCCTAGGATCGCTTCTCTTTGCACTCTATACTTCTATATAGTTTCGCTGCCAACTTGTCCTCTTATAATATTAATATGTATGCTGATGATATTCAAATATATCAATCATTTCGTCGTGGCGAGAGTCATGATGTGGTGACAAATTTAAATAGAGATTTACAAATTATCCATAAGATTGCTAATTTCCATCAATTGAAGATTAACCCTGTCAAATCTATGTGGATATGCTTTGGAAGTTCTGTAGAGAGTGTTCAGGTTAATAGTGATCTAAAATTGGGAAATATACCTTTACAACGTGCGGAGAATGTGAAGTGCTTGGGTCTAACACTTGATAATAGTTTTAGATATCGTGGGCAGATTAATGATTATATAAAGAAATCTAATTTCTATCTTAGGCAATTATATCCTTATAGAGCTTATTTGTCATATAATATCAAAAAACAATTATGTGATGCTTACGTCTTGTCACAATTTAATTATATGGCACCGATTTACCACGCAGCGATGGACATGGATACGGCTTATCGTATTCAGAAAGTACAAAATTGCTGCTTTCGTTACAGCTTTGGTATCAGGAAGTATGACCTAGTATCGCACAGACTGAAGGATGCGAACTGGTTAAAAATGAGTTCTAGACGTGAATTGCTTACTTTGTTATTGTTTCACAAAATAATCACGACACGGATCCCACGATACTTCTATGACAAAATTACATTTAAGTCAAATGACGGAAGATATCCAACCAGGTTTTATCTTACAATCATACCACCTAAATATAGAACATCATTGTTTCAGCGGTTTTTCACATACCATGTTTATAAATCTTACGGAAGCTTGCCTATGTCGATCCAACAATTACGTATGTCTAGTTTTAAAAGATGGGTATTTGAAAGATTGAGAGACATTTGAAAGGTGGTAATTTCTTTACCAGATTTATAATGGTATTTGGTTTGTGGTCGTGCATTGATGTGCGGTCTGACCTTGTATCTGTGATATTTACTTTTTCTTTTTTTTTTCTCTCGTCCATTTTCTGGACTTTTTTCTTTTTTCCTTCATTGTTATTATTATTTTTCTTTATTAATATTATCTTTTTCTTTTTATATTATTTTAGTTTATTTTAATTTCTTTAAAAGGTTGGTTGAAACACACTAAAGTCTGGAACCAATACTCTATTTTTCTTTTCGTTTTGTTTTACGTATGCATAATAAAGTTTATTATTATTATTATATCGGCAAAG